TTCTGGTTTTTTTTACAAAATTTTGCTGTCGAGCGGGGGGGGGGTCGCAGTACCTACGTACGTCCCAAGCACGTCCAGCACTCTGGCGCTGGTGTAGCATACTGACAATGCGTACGAAGGAAGGTCGACTGAAGAGCTACAACAACGCCCACAAGAGGACTCACGATGTGACGATTAATAAACAGATGAAAGTACATTCCCGGACTTTTCTGATCGTAGGAGCACATTTGCTTGCAATTGGGAAGCCCTATCTAGAAGTTACACCTTTCAAAAACACCTGCGTGAAAGCCCCATGCATGGCGCATTGCATATGTGATGCCAATTGGCGCCCAATGGCCTATTACCTGATATGCTTGACGAAAACATGTGTTTCAGAAGCATACCAAAGTCTTCGAGCCAACTGGAGGTTTCCTGGCCTCGGAGGGGTTGATTTTTCGGTGTCGTGGGGGTGATTACAAAATGATCACAACGGGGAATTTTTTCGAATAGTAGGTCTAGGAAGGAAATTAAAACCTTGCTGGACCCGGCACAGTTCTTTTTTTTACGAAAGGTCGTGTATGAAGCTTGCCATGGACGTCCAAAAGCGTAGCGACTCGCGGTTCGCAAAAATGATCACAGATGGATCACAAAGATGATCACAACGGGGAAAATCTCTGGAACCGGAAACGTTTTTGAAAATCGCTTGATTTAGTGATCACAACTATAGCTACTGCTCATAATAACCAACCTAGCTCTACTCATTCCCACTTACCCTCTCCGATAGCTTCACTTTCAACGAAGTTATGGGTGTTCAAATGAGGGGTACTTTTCACGTGTTTGGCTTGAAATTGGCTCCAAACCGTAAAATAGCGCGCACCAATGCGCTTGTATGAGCGCGCTGACCGCGAACAGCCAAAATTCAAAAGTAATCCATAGTTCCGGTTCCCAGCTGAGCGGTGAGTTTTTTCTTATCCATTTTATTGTGAATTACTTTGTTGTTTGTTTTTTTGACAGTTTGATTTTTTTTGTTGAGTTTGTTTTTTTGTGGATTAGAAATTGCTCAGGATTCAATTTCTACGGTTTCATAGGTAGCTTTTGCAATGGATTCTTTTCTAGATTTTGCGGATTAGTGGATTGGGATTTACCTAGACCAGATGAGGGTTGGTGGGCGAAGTGTCTTGAAGTTTTTTGTGAGGAAGGAGGAAAAAGTTTCAGCAATATTTTTTTTAGTTTTTGGCCTAGGAATAGTTCGATAGTGCCTAGTTCTATTTATTGTCATCTACATCGTCCCTTTTGAGCTTCTTTTTACTTGTACCGTGTATCACCGCTCTCTCCACTTCAACATGGGCCATGCGTTTACGACCCCCCCTCCATCGCGGGCAAATACGACCCCCCTGTTGTGATGATCACAAAGATGGCGTGCCCTGCTCCCAGACATTGGTGGGGCGATTTTGATAAATATACCTACCGTCCCCGCCTTTTTTGAGCCTGGTTTTCTCGCCTCAAACCCCCTAATTTCCTTTCTCAAACATAGCACATGTGTAAATCCGGAGATCTGGTGTGATTTATGCATGACGTAAAATATTCCCAGCCTCGTGGAGGCCGCGGTAGTCCGCTTGCTTGCTTATTCCGTCTTTCTACCTAGAACTTTTCGTGCACATTGGCCACAGCACGTGGTGTATTGGATATTTCAATACCTGTACCAACGAGCTGCACTGCTCACTGCTCTAACGATTATCGAACTAGTGTAGGTACCGCCTAGGCAAGAAACTTACCATGTCCTGCGTTCTTTTGATTGAGGCTTCTTCTGAAAGAACTTCTTCATTTGTTCTCATGGTGCTGCGCTACATTCATAAACCGTTTCTCAAAGATACATTCCACAAATAGCGAAGTCAAATCCAACTGTACACCTCAGAGGACAGCTTTTCCCCGAGCAGGATTAATGAGCTTCACAGCTGCACTAGCGTGCCACTTTCTCCGCCCAAACTGCACAGGAACAGGGCTGGACTATAGTGATACGCCGGGCAAGTCCGAACCCCGCCCGTGCTATCCTCACTGTGAAGCGCATGCGTGGATCAAAATCACCACCCACCCAAGAAACCCATCAAAAACACGCAACTTAGCAGTACAGAACAGAGGGAGAGACAACTAGGGCATTTGGCTATGGCTAGGCGTGTAGCTGGCCGTGTTAGAGCGCGGAAGGAGTATGAGTAGAAGTAGGCACCCGGGTATCATTACCCTCTAGCCTCTTGCACTTTTGACAAGAGAAAATGGCGCGATACTGCAGCTGCAAACCCGTTCACCTCCCAAACGTCAAGGGTAGGATCCATGGAGGTGTACAGTTTGTCCTCTGAAGAATCGCTTCCATGAATGAAGAAGACCGACCTCAAAAATAAATGCGGGTGATTTCGTGGTACAAGCTGGGGAACAAGGGTGCGGTGCCTGATTTCTCTTACGGGGGCCTCACCCAACCTACGTGCATCTTTCGTCGAGGCTCTGAACTATCGAGGAGCATTGGATTAGCTGCGATAAGACGCGCAATAGTGGCATCATAATAGGACTGGTTTGATAGGAGAAGAGACGTAATGTCGCTGACTTCTAGAAAAACCAGAAAGAGGAGTGATCCATCTGACATATGTAGTTTTGGCACCTATCTGCATACTCCAAAGTCAAGAATGAGCGCCGTGATTGACGTATTGAAGGAACTCTTTTATGGATTGGAAAAGTAGCTACAGCTGGCTGTAAACGTCACGTGGTAAGGCTCAGCACAACAGGCTTATGGGAAATTAGGTCCTTGGGTCATTGTCACATACACGGCGCCGGGACGCATCTATAGCTGATTCCAAAACAAGTGCAGTTCACCAAGCGGAAGCGACCTACACATACGTTCGTACACTGCCTCCAATGGTACCTATTCTAGCCCTCAGTGAAGCGAAGTCGGTTGTAGGACATCAGTTCTTAAGGTCCGGCAACTTACGCGGGTCCTAAGCTACCCGTGAAGTTAGCCTTTTCGGCATCTTAATGCTGCACAGATCCCTAGCCGCCGAAGCGTCTTACCGCTTCATGCATCCACTGTCCCTGAAGCATCCTACTCCTGCATGCACCCGTGCCGCAGTGAGATGCTTCAAATGGTTCACACCAAGGCAGTTGACGAAATATACAGGGTGACCAAAAAGTTCTGGCAATTTCGTGTTTGTGCGTTTTTGAATGGCCATTATGGTCTGTTTTCTCTCCGATGGGTTATTTGTATTCCGCAAGCCATTTCGAACTACCGTACGAGTCATCTATCCAATCACTTTCGATTTCTCCTCGCACTGTCTCGAAAAATCAAAAAGTTGCAGTTGTTGAAACCCATCTTCTGGTCGGTGCTTGTTGAAGAATGTGCTCGCCACCGACGAGAAAAATTTTCGATCACAACTACCGGAATTGTTGTCTGCTCCTCAGAAAAGGTCAACAGAAGGCAACGGCTGTGAAATCCGTCGGACGCAGACTCTTTCCAGCCTCAGTCACGGTCTGAGGCGGGATCTGTGCCACCGGGAAGACCTCTCATTTCTTCATCGAGCGCATCGTAAAGATTAATGCTGTCTACTCCCAACAACGCGTTCTCCGCGATGTACTGAAGCCATGGGTGTCGTAGCACTTCGGCCCGGATGGACACGTGCTTCAGCAAGACTGGGAGCCAGCACATCCTGCCAAACCCACGAACTGCCGCTTGTGAAGAGCTGCTTCCCGATTTTGGGGCAAGGACGTTTGGCCTCCCAACTAGCATGGTCCGAACCCCATGGATTATTCCATCTGGGTCGAAAAATCTCAGGAATTCGATGCGCAACGGTTTACCACCTGAAAGTGGCGTTGCTGCGTGTTTGGGACCAAACTACAGCAGAAGAATGCGCGACCATTGTCGGACACTTTGGAAAACGACTACGTAAATGTGTTGAGGCTGAAGGAGGCATTTTTGAACACTTGTTGGAACTTTGTTGTATACGGTCATTAGTACTGATTAGATGAAGACTCCCAGACGTTTAGTTGGCTGATTTCCTTTTTCGAACGGTATTTTTTATGCTACCGAAGTATTCCGAAAAATTGCCAGAACTTTTTGGTCACCCTGTAAATATGGTGTCAGTCATTTGCTACTAGTCATGACGTTCGTTTGGACACCACCATCGAGGTGCAATTAGTTTGGCGGTTGTATATGATGTCGCTTCTGACGAGGAAGTACGCATGAGCGGCTTTCAACACACTGCGAACCGCCATACTGCGCGTATCTCCGGATCATTTTACCATTATTACTAGCAATTCATCAGTAATTTCTTCCTTTTTTCGGTCACTTGTAATGTAGGTATCTTCTTTAACCCAGATTGTGTTTTGACCACAGCGGAACATGAAAGGAGAGCCAAATTAATCCAATAAAATGTCGCATAGAAACAATTTATGACACACCATGTGTGTCACGCGATACGGAGCGTGTTAAACTACTGAGAGCCTGCAGCTTGGGAACATATTGACATGTGAGCGGTGTAACGGATTTTTCTACGTGAACTTTCCGTTTTCAAACCTTATCATTTCCTGTCATCCAGCAGTAAGGCTCCATACCTTCCAAACCTTTTAGGCGAATGTCGGAGAGGGGGTTCGAGCCAACGCGCTATGATTTCAGTAACAATCTCTCCTTTTTGAGATCCCTTGCCGGATGTTGTTCGCTTTTATCAATTCTCTTCACCCAGCAACAGTCTTTTCGTCCTATCCTTCATATCACTTCTTATGGTTAGTGCAAACCCCGCTGCTGCTGTGATCAGGGCTGCTATTTGGTGACCCTGCTTCTAATGCTTCTTATTGAATCTTATCAGCTCATCTTATCACCCAGCAACAGTGCTTCTGTATTGCCCCTGTGAAACTTCCCACACGGATGGACGGACAGACAGCAAGCTACAGGTTACTTATGCACACAGAAATACACACATGAATGCGCAAACATGCTAGAGGCTAATGCTAGAATAATTGGAATCGGCTAATAATTCATGAAATTACTCACCACCGTCAAAATTTCCTTCGTCGCTATCGTTAAATACTGCTCTCGGTGGACGCACCATAACGTCCTTCCCCACACTTGCTCTTTCGTTCTGAAATCTCAACTGACATGTCGGGTTCAATACCTTTCATCGATTAGTTCAAGTAGTCTATTTATTCTGAAGTTTTATGTTGCTTCGAATCTCCGAGGCTCGATTGTGTTCACCGACCACAACTACCGTCCTTCCTCAAACAACCAAGGACAGTGTTTCAACCTTGGGCTGCTGCTTAGCAATTTCCCTCTTTAATTCTTAGTCATCTCCCGGAAGTGTTGTGTGTACGGTCAAAACAATATCGGCTGCTTCTTCCTAACAGTTAGGGTGCGTTCATGTCTTGGTAGCGTCTACCAGCGACCACTAGCTTTCACCAGCGACAGTCAGCGTCTTGAGAGGCTAAGAAAGTATGGATAGCGATTTGGCCGCTACCAGCGGCACGTCTCGCGCTAGGAAAACGTTTTAAAAATACGCCCCCCTAACTCCCTCCTCTGATACGACCCCTTTCCATTGTACCTACCCTTATGGATTTTCCCAACATCCTACCACTTTTCCCCAGTTTTTCCAGAATTTCAGAATTTCCCAAAAATTTTCTAGTTTTTTCCCCCAACACCTTGCTGTCGTTGGAAGGGCGGATTATGTAACACATGTGAAAGGAGAAAAATAGTGAAAAGTCAACAAACGGGTAAAATTTTCCCCAACGTCGCAATCTCTCATGGGCAAAGGCGAATACGACTTCTGTGTCTCTCCCAAATAAGGAGCAAATACGACTCCCACCTTATAGCGTCCGTAAAACAAGAAAAATCACTTACCAAAAAAGATTTTGTTAGACCAAATACGACCCCACCCCCGCTGCGGATTACCCAACTACGACGTGGGCTCAGCGTCCACCGGCGACCAGAAGTAGAGAGTATAGGGAAGTAGGGCGTAGCAGACCGACTGGTAGAGTATGGGCAAGTAGGAAGGAGGAGACACCTGGATCAGGCGTCGTGAAGTTGTGGTGTGTGCAACCACACCATACTAGTACACAAACTAGTACACAATACCGTACTCCTGGCCGCTGGTAGACGCTGGCGGACGGCTAATGCTGTTTGGACTCCAGAAATTTCGGCTCCGAGCTCATTTTCAAATTGCCTAAGCCACCAAATCGTAACCGTAATGTCATCCTTTAGCGCCAGCGCCAAAAATGAATGTCATATTCGTGATCAGGATGTTGAATTACCCCTATATACAAGTTTTTAGCGGATTTGGTGATCTTGCCACTTTTAAAATGAGCTCGAAGCCGAAATTTCTGGAGTCCAAACGGCATTAGCCCCGACGGACGCTGATAGAGCCGAAATTGCTAGTCCAAAACCGCATTAGCCCCTGGCGGGACGCTGACAGATGCTAGATCGATATTCGTACTTTTTCAGTTTTTGACGCTGACGGACGCTAAGAAAGCTGATAATCGCTGGTCGCTGGTGGACCCTGTATCACAGTATGAACGCAGCTTTGTTGGTGCAACGGTAGAGGCAAGAGTGGAATGCAGGAGTAGTGAGTGTGGGACAGGTGCATAGACGAGTACCTTGGGTCGTAGTAGAGTGTGGGACAGGTGCATAGACGAGTACCTTGGGTCGTACAGAGTGGATGTTATCGAAAATGAATAATGATAACGGCTTGCAGAATCAAAGCCCGTCAGTTTCATTGAGTAACAACCTTGACTGGGATGGGTTGCACTTTGAGAACGCTTGACTAAAACGGCTAAAAGTAGTTTGCCATATGGGTCAACGTTTACAAGAAGTTTTCTCTATTACAATTCGAGTTCGCTAATGAAGTGTATGTACACTAAAGAAGGTGACTGGTTCGGAATGACCTAATAACCAGAAACTTCCTACATTGAAAGAGCTTGCAGCACTCACCTCCTCTTCAATAGTCTTTTTCGTGTGCTGTCTGGAGCATAGCAATACTGAAGCTGCCGATATCACAAGAAAAAAATCCGTCAAGGTAACTAGCGAGACGATCGAGTACACTGTAAAGGGCTCCGCGCTGTTCAATCCACATTGCATTTAAATTGACTGTATTAATAATCGCAAAAGGCAAGAAGTTGTCAAATCTAAGAAGGCGACACAACAGAACGGATTATTCAAACTCACCTTGATGGTTTACATAAAACATATTGTATTCACTAAGGCCTGAGATCACTGACATACCACTCGTGCACCACCATTCAAAACAATCGCTAAAATGCAACTTCTTCAATGGCTTTGATTGATATTGTAAATTTGATCTAGTTGAAGTTATGGGCTTGCGATAATAAACATCCACTTATCATTCTACTTCCTGATGCTCAACAACAGAAATGAATGCCATCACGCGAAACGTTCCATCTACGCCGATGTAAGCTTCGCAATGCCTTTAGTGAAGCGCTGATCATTCAATGTGATACGCTTTGAAGGCAGTTGGCACGATAATTTGGTACTCAGCCTAAAATGCTCGCAGGGCGCTATTAGTGGGGAAAATGGCGAAAAAACGAAGTGAAACGGTCCAAAACTGCGAAGAAAAGCCTTCGTTCTTGAAAAGCAATTTCGGACGAGTTTCCCGTAGGCTATTGCAAACTCATGTCAGCACCGGCAGCCGCTCATACCAGTCCCTTCGCTTTCGAATAACAAATGAAGCAAAACGAGCGGTGGTGACGTCTGCTCCTCCCCGCGGTGCCACTGGGTACTGCTCGCTTTGCCAGTTGCTAAACGCAGACACACGAATGCAGGTGACAGGCTCGTCACCACCAGACCGAAGATGTAGAGAGGTTCTTCGGGCATCAATGACGAGAAGGGCGGCCTAGAGGACGCCCCAAGCAGCGCTGGTCAGACACGTTGCATGCGGACT